TAAAAATTTACATCAATTTGATTAGTAAGGTTCAAGATGTTTGTATATTCTTATATTATTATTCATGTAGACCCTTTTGAAATTTTAGCAACTTTGTAGTAAAAGTGATAATTTGAGAAGCTGTAGCTCATAAGAGAAACTACGAAACTTCTAGAACGCGTTACACCTCAAACTTCTTGGTTATTTAGAAAATCTTTGCACGTTTCTTTTTGAAAAATTTCTTATTTTGATTAGATTTTTTCGCTAGACTTTAACGTAAAAGGCAAACGATGCTTTAACTGGGAAGCGAATGTGAGTGATACATATACAAAATTTTCGAAACGAGGAAATAGATTTTTTGGAGCAACTTGTTTCTCTATGGCATTTTACGGGAATACGTTATTCATCACTCATTTTCTCTTTTTAATCTCAAAATACCTTTGTATAGTTAGTTTTCTTGATGCTCGCCTTGATATCTTGTATCCCGATAATCCCATTGCCCAGGAATTTCCCCAATCGTACGAGAATCCGAGAATGTCGATCGCTCATCACTTGACGATCTGCTACGATTTTTCATGCAAAACAAGTGCGCGCAAAACATTTCTGACAGGCCTTTCTATGCATGGAATTGTCATTTTCTTTGATTTCGTGCAAAGATAAACATTTCCGAATGATTCGTGCTGTCCGCTGGTGAATCGTCATTTCTTGACTTTTAGCGTGTGCTATCAGTGACGAAGACTTTCGAATAATTCATCGTGCGCTCGTGCAACATTTTGATTTTAGTCTTCTTGAAGGGCTATGCAGCTGTTTTATAATTTTTCATTTAATTTTACACACAAAGTCCGAAAAGAAAAGATCAAACATCAAAAAAGCCAACTAAAGAAGGCTACGTCAATTTCAACTACTTAAATTTTAATATTTCAAATCAGCATCAACAAGAATAACGTTGACAATGTGGTGTCGAAACTTTGCGCGTAAGAAATGGCCATAGGGCTTGAAGTTGAATAAGCTAACCAACCTAGTTTATCCAATAAATCAAATAAAAAATAATTTTCAACAAAACTTATATCATCTTCAAAGAGAACAAGATTTATAGTTTGGTAAATTTGGCGCATGAGTTCCCCTGCGGTGCTGACAACATATGCACGTAAAAAATGACGTAGTGCGCAAAAGCTGGAGATAATTCACATTTGTGACTTTGATGTTCTGAAAGTTTATAGAAGATTCGGAGCTATTTTCGGAATTGTTCTGGTATAGCAAGCGCACCGTGTACGGTTTTAGTAGATTTGACGGCTGACACAGTGTCCTTGCGCTGCTTACGACATTTGCGCGTAAAAAATGGCCATGGGGCGCAAACTTGAAAAGTATGCGCCTGCGGTCATTTTTTACGCGCAGATGTTGTCGGTTGCGCAAACACTATATAAACCGTTGAATCTACTTGCTATACTTACGATTTGAAACTTATATCGATCGCGAACCAATCAGCATCGCATAGATAATTTTAGGGTTTGATGAACGGTGAATGGGCTCTTTTTTCTTTTACTTCGCGCATCTCCAAAAATACTCCTTTCGTCCTCCATAACCGGCTAGAACTTCATTCCTTACTCTTACTTTCTAGACCTCTCAGCGGTTCAAACGAGGGTCATTGAGACTGCTCATTCCGACAGCCGTTGGACGCTGTCAGGCTGGACGACGACGGCCTTGGGCCGCTCGAGGCGGACTGTCATTGTAACTGAAGGACCCTCAAACCGTTTGAGGTTTACCTTCGTCGATTAGTCCTATGAATCGTTGCCTCAATGGATCCCTCCTCAATTGCCCCTGTCGCTTTGTTTACCGTAACCGCGTCCGAGTCGTGCTGTTCCAGTACAAAGAAAACATCTAACACTTGCACTCACTTAAGTGAGTTGCTGCGTGGTTCTTAGGGGGAGGCGGGAGAGTTTACCAGGCGGGTACTGGGGAGAGTCTGTTGGTCCGAGCATTTAATCCGCTATGATCCGCTAGCCTCGGCAGCTCTACGAACACAAGAATGGCGGCCTCGTGTGTCTCCATTCATAATTACACGCCAGAGCGGTCATATATCTGTTTATAGCTGATACTTATGGTTGTTTGTGTGTGCTTACGCTGCTTCAATAACAATTTTCCGCTCAATAGCTCTTTTTGCCTACTTTTGTTATGTCAAGTTTTTTCTTCTGTCGGGCTTATGGAAGAACTGTCATCCTAGCTGAACTACACATTTAAACTTTCTTTAATTTTGTTTTAAACCAGACTTTGATGCCCATTTTCGTGAGTTTCGACCATCATCTTGATTTTGCACTATGATAGATGGATATTACCTGAGTCTGAGTCATCATTAATGTTCACATGCTTAACTCACTTTCTATATACTTTGGGGAAAGAAACATTCAGAACCTTCTTAAGGATTTTTTTTTATTCTCAAATCATTTGGAGGGCTGCAGCTTTTCGCATCATACGTGAAATATTCAGTTTTTGTATCATTTAAATTTTTTCAATTGTTTTTAGCAAATTTCAGTTGGCGTTATCAAGGATCTCAAACGTCAAAACTGCCTTCATACTAGTAATGCTCAGAGAAAATTGGAATCTCTAGAATACAGAGAATGAAATGAATGCCCTGAAACGCCCTTATAGCAACTATAGTACTCTGCCCTTCATTTTTATAATTTTCGTGAAATACTTTCTACTGTCCAGTTCCTGTATTTTTTGGTAATTGTTTCTTCTTGTTTATGTTTACTTTTTTGTTTATTTTTGACTCCTCTACGTCTTTCTTTTGCCTCCTCAAGTCTTTTTAAAATCCTAGCAGCTGTCTGATTCTACTACTACTTGTTCCTAATCTCTTCTTACTTTTACGTCATCTTTGGCCCATTAGTTGCGTTCGTTCGTTCGGCTGCGGAACACGCCCCACTTCCTGTTCAGAGTTCTTTTGTTGACCACAGCCTTCCGAATTTTCAAAAGTTTGCGCATTGACCCTTTGGAAGTGGGGGAAACCTGGAGCTTCTTTACTTTATCAAGTGGGGTAACAGAGTAATTTCATGAAGTCACAACAAACGGTTGTTAAATTGGCAGACTTCTCCTCTGTATTCTAGGCTCTTTTCATGAGGGTTCAAGATGTGCACAAAGCTTTTGAGGAAAAAGCTGTAAAATGTTTGAAAATCCTTCAATATATATGCTAGTTTTTTACCAGAAAATAGTGTTTCTTCAGGCGCCAATTATTGACCTAATTCTTTATCTAGACCTTGATCAAGGAATTTTAATTGAAAAATCCAAAAATTGTCACTACCAGCAGAAATATCAGCTCACCACGAATCTATTTGAATCGAGAGAGTGGGCCAGAAAGCCAAAAGTGATTTCAGAACCAAATTTTGTTGGTTTGTTGTTTTTTTTTTGCATTTGCTACTTGAGTTCAAAATTTCGCTATCTTGGATATTGTATTGCCGCAATTGCACTAATTTTTGCTCTAGACTTATGTTAGTAGTATGTAGATGATTTTTCATGGAAATGTCAAGTCATGCAAATAATAGCTAAAGACGGAATTTGTAAATTTCATCATATCTATGGCGTAACCCAGTACGTATATGCTCTAATAATTTACTAATTTACTAATTCATGTGGCATACATAATTGGCCAAACAAAGATGAAATAACAAGATAAATCAGATAAATAAAATATCGCTTGCTCAAATTACTTCACATAAAAAGTACTCCCCTGACAAATTCCTTTTCTCATACTCGAACGCAAAATTGTGTCGGCACCGTATCAGTAGTTATATTTGTCAATTCCCTTGCGTTTCAAACGAAAATTGAGGTTGAACAAGATTAGCCTCTTATCTTTAAATAACGCTTTTACAGGGGAAGGATACTTGGATGCCGTAGCCATTCATAATGATTTGTATACCAAAAAATGCGCTTTTGAATGCTGGTTCGTAGACTGTCTTTCATACCTGCGAAACGATAATCTGAATGGAGTTATAATTTTTTTTCATTAAAAAAATTGCGCTCCTGCGGAGGGTCAAAATCATCAATAAAAAAATTTTCTCTTTTCCAAATGCTGAGTATGATCCAGATAGTCTAAATAAATATTACTATGTCTGAAATTTTCTTCAGTAGCATCAAACGGTAGGCTAGATCAAATCTGGTGATTTTTACTATCCAAAAGTAGGCTAAATTTTCAAGGAAAAAAGTTCATAACTTCCTTCAAAAGATCGTTTCGCAGATTTCGAGCGCAGATTCAGAATCTGCATTCGAAGGCGCATTTTTTGGTATACAAATCATTAGGAATGGCCGCGGCATCCAACTATCCTTCCCTTGTTAGTAAATTTATCTCAAGGTTCGTTTTTTTACGCCCACAAGACATGGCTGATCAACTTAAAATGGGGGATTAGGGAACTTGGAGGTTTTTCAAGTACATGAATTTTAATTTGAAACCCGGAGAAGGAAACTTTGTATCTATATTTCTTAAGTACCTATCTTTATCTTATTTTTCAAGGTATATCTTTCCATTACCTTATTTTTATCCTCCGACGATCGCTAATCTGCTGATGTGCTACTCTGCTATTCTTGCAGAGTCCATTCATAGCCGTACTCATAAGCAGCCACCCTCGCAAGGGGATCCGGGCGGCGCAGCTCTCAAGCAGATTCCCGCATGTGTCGACTGCACTCTGTGATTGTTTCTCTACACATAATGCGCGTCGTAGCGTGAACGAAGTGGCGAAGAGCCAGCCTGAGCACTTGCAAATCCGCCAAGTGATACGTCATCCGCGCAGCAGTTCCGAAGATTTTATCGTTTCGAATTTACATATGCTCGCAATGCGATGTCAAGCATTGCCTAGTTCGGAACTTGAGTGCTCGAGCCCGTCACGGCTTGCCCTTCTCTTCCTAGTTTGCTCTGCAGATTTTATGGAAGAGCAAACATCTTGATCCGATTCGAATGACCATTTCTCGCAGTCTCACTGTCGTCACGGTGTCGCCTGTACAGTTTTTTTGTGAAAAAGGAATTTTTTTTACAGGATGCCACCAGACATCCGTTGCCGCTCAATCTGCTGGGTTCTGCTCGTGCTTAGCTCGACATTTGTTGGTGAGTTTATTTACTTTACGCTTAGTGCTGTTTTATAAGATCAACCTCTAAAATTAGCACCAGACTATCGATAAGCTAGAAATCTCCAAAAATTCTTCCATATCCGTTATTATCAGATTGTCTTAAATTTTCAGCTTTGATTTCTTAATGTCAAAAGTCATAATTCTCCTATATGCCATAGAGTTTAGAAGGACTGTTTGTTGGAGCAAAGCCAGCAAAATGGCTTTCCAATATGTATTTACCCAAAATTAGTAACACATAAAGTTTGAGGGCAAAATCTAAAAAAATTCAAAAGCTTGAAGAACCTGAAAAGATTAGCTTCTTAGGAAAATTGCTACGGAGCTCTCTCTCTCTCTTCCACACATATACTCTACTGATTAGACATCCATAAATACCCATGCTTTCTTCCTTTTGATGGTCAAAAATCAGGAGCAAATAATATGCTAACTTTCAATTTGTCTCTGTCGGTTCCTTGCTCCTCCCACATAGTTGCTTATATAGCCTATTCACTCAAATATACAGCCGTGACATTGTCCTTGTACAGGGTTTCAATTCATGAAAATGTCATTTAGAGTCACTTTTCGAAAGAAATTATAAGGCAACCTAACAATAAAATTAACGATTTATTGCTCCCGTGCTGGCTACAATCTTCATTTTGATACGTTGATGGTGTGCGAAATTTCTAACTGTGCGATACATGGTCAATTTTCACGCGCAAACTTTGTACTCACTGTAAACATGCTATAGTAATCATCAACTCCGCAGTATATTCGGCTTTTTACTGTTTCTCTACACAGGTGTTTTTTGAAATATTTTCTGCCTTATCAGACATTTATGATCCGTTTTCCAAACAAAAACTTCAAGTGTTATTATTTTGGCGGCAACTCAGATACTATACAGTCGTGTGATTCTGTTCTGTCAGTTGAAAAGCAAGCTGCTGGCAGTTTGCCAGGAACAAACACAAACAGCATAAAACCAGCTGAGCCGCCGAAAACGCTACACAACGCTATCATAATCTTTGTTGATTTTGAAAGAGAAGTGAAAGAGAGCTCAAAAAATTTGCTGTCTGTATTGTCAGGACAGCGGATTTTGTGAGCATAGGGGTTAGGAAGAATAGACAAACTTTCCTGATAGTTAATGCAGAGAAACAGCTTAGAAAAAAAGAATCTGCCTTTTCTGCCGTTTTACTCTATATCGTTTCCATCTCAGTTTTTGTCAAATAAAATTGTGTGCTATTCTCTTTGCGACATTTATCTCCTGAAAGGTGGCCTTGTCAGGCTTCGTGCAAATTATTCAATCATTAGGCGAGTTTTTCTGCAATTTTCAAAGCCATTATCTCGTTTTTAGAGCGTTGAAAGTAAAAGTAATGCCCTCTTAATGACTTTAGCGATCGTTTGCGGTTCCTTGATGTTACCGTCAATTGTTAGATGTGCAAAGGAAAAAATGACAAAAACTTAAAAAATGACGTCAATAGTGCGGTTTTTTACAAGCTCTTTGTTGCATCCTGGAGTTGCCTAACACTCTATTTTTGGAGCCCTTTGGCCACCGCATATAAGGTAAAGGAAAGAAATTCCTTTTACCTTTTAAGAAGGAAAGAGGAATGCTCAACTTAAAAATTCTCATTGTAAATACAATAACAGCGTTCGCAAAGCACTGTCGCAAATTTCACTCTGAGAGTAGGTGTGAGACTCTTCTTCGATAAACAAAGCGGCGGTGGCGTTACCTATGTTTTTGTGTTCTTCGAAATTTTCTTCGAGGAATCTTATCAGAATTTTCGCAAGCTTACAATATTATACCAGACAAGAGGGCGTGGCGAGAGCCAAGCTGCAAAATCACGGCAAAAATGACGTTTTTGGCATAACTCTTCACAGAAAAGCTCGATCAGCGCAAACGTGACATCATTAGGCAGTTCACAAAACCTTTAGAAAACATAATGTCAGATTTCTCTACAGCATTTTAAATTTTTTGACGATTTTATTTTCCAAAATCACGAGTTTGAGTCGTTCTTCTATTCGAATTTTCATCACTGGATTGAAGATGTTATTAGAAAGTATATGAAATTTTCTAGCTGGAGGTATTTTTTAGAAGTTAATAGATTCACATATTGACAGTTACGAATTTTTTAAAATCAACCTAATATAATTTTTTTCACTATTCCTGAGACTTTTTTCGAAAGAGCACTGTGTTCGCATTTGTTTTGTAATCTAAAATGTGATGGATAAGAAAAATAGTAACAATTAATCCGTTTGTAATATATCCCTGAAATTTTTTTAAAAATTTGGCAAACTCTCAAAGATGTCACGTTTTTTTTTTGTTCACAAACACTGCTAATTACTTCAAGGAAAAAGCAAACTCGACCCAGTAACACTCTGTGTCAACACTCTCATCAAGGCAGCAATCGGTGGTCTTACAAGTGCCTTTGTAGCTACTTTCATGTGCACTTTGTCTAGGCCAGTGTTCTTGATTGCATTAGATGCGTCTTAATTCGATTTAGTCTTTTACGGCAACAGTCATGATCACATCATTCGCAGCAAATGCTGCAATCTCACAAGAGATTTGCAGGTTATTTGTAGGAACCGAAGAATGGGAAAAGCTGTGTATTCAAGTACGTATAAAATCTACAAAATTCGTGTTTGTCAAAAAGATTAAAGCTAAATGCAGATAAACAAATGAAATATAAATTATGAAATCAACAAAAGTTGGATGAATTCAGTTTGAATGAAAACAAACGCATAAGTTTTCGGTTTTTTTTCATGGCTACACTCCTCGCCCTCAGACTAAACGCTAGTGCAGTAGAAACCCCGAGCCAGGACTTAGCAGAGGTGGCGCATTCACAAATTGGGTGTTGTTTTTCTTTTTGAGGCAAGCAAAGGGGAACCCGTAAATCTAACCGGAAAGCTGACGAACTATTAGAAAGCACAACTGTATCGTGCATCCTCCAGAATTGTTTCTATTTAAACCATCAAAGTGGCTCCTTTCGATCGTTTTAACACTGTAACCTCACAAATTCAAGACGCTTATTTGAAGTTGACATGCCAAAACGATCGAAAGTCAGCCACGTTGATGGTTCATATGGAAACAGTTCTGGTGATGCATACCAATCGAAGATCTAACGTAACTCTATACCAGTTACAGGAATAGTTACAAATACGATTAGTACTTAAACCTGTGTGTACACGACTTCAACTTGTCAAAATACAATCTTTACGCGCAAAAATATTAGATTGTAACATAAGTTTTGCAACACTCAAGGGAAAAAACTTCATAGCTTTCACCAAAATTTTTTTCTCATCTCCAGGGATTTCTATGAAGTATTTTTAGCAAATTTTTAACTTTCGTAATTGAACTAAACTAAAAACCAACTAAATTGAACCGAATTCCCCTCATATTAGTACTAACGTCCCTAGGAAACCAACAAAAGTCTGAGAGCATAAAAAATAAGATTGAGAGATTTTTTCAAAGGCAAAAGAAAAAAATGGAGTTTGAGTGCCATCACAAAATTGCCTTTATATTTACTGTAACCCACACCTGTAAAGGCGGAAATGATGCCAATTGGTACTCCTTTATCCACTGCTCATATGCACCAAATATTAGACTTTGTCAAGGTTACTAGAGTTTTTCAGAAAAAAATGAAAAAATGTCTCGAAACTTATGTTACACCTAATACAAGCAAAGCGTTTGTTTACAACGAGTAAGCAGTGTTGAGCCACCAAGTTTGGTGTGTACATCCCCGTCAATGATAAAATTAGGAGAACGAGAGGAGTTATAAGTGTTTTTCGGTTTAGGTTGCTTTCGTTCAACCTGGGAGCACCCTGAAGTTGGCGGGACCAGGCAAAGTCTCAGGAATCTTCACAATTCTCCCCCTTCTTCACATAAATCAAATTTTTTACATAAATTCAATCTTTAGATCAAGCTCTATCTATGAGTGCGACCTAAGCTTAGCCCGCTATGCTTTGTTACCTCTCTTGATGATATAGAAGTTCGCATTTCGCTTCCTAATCTTTAATTTATTCTTGTCTTTTCTTTCCTTTAATCCACGTCTTTTTCCGCTGCAGATTATTAAAAACTTTCTACAAACACTACAAAAGGTAACTCGTAATTTTCTGCAATGTCAAGGGGGTTCGTTTTTGGATTTCTCATATACCACCTCGTGCTGGGCTCTGCTCCGAGCCATTGCTCATCGTTGGGCTCGCTCACAAAGAGCAAATATCGGATTGTTTAGTTATTCTAACATGCGTAGATCAGGCCGGATGTGTCGCACTCTTGGCGACAAGTGTATGAAAGCAAACAACAGAATTTTGCGCAATTCTAGGCCCATGACAATAAGTCGATTTCCGGATAAATATAACCATCTATTCAACTGTACGAGGTTGAATACCTGATTTTTTGTGTGTGGTTTCTCCCGAACCTTACAAAATAGGCTACCAAAGTGCTAACATTACCATACCTTTAAAAGTTGATGTCATGTGCATCTTGAACCTCAGATGAAAACTGAATTAGTCTTCACAAACCTTTTCTTTATATGTGAGTTGAGACTGGAAAAAATTTGAGTATTGAGTGAGAACGTGTCAGCGAATAGAGTTCCAGCTCGAAATTGTTGAAATTTTCTATTGTTTTGAAGAACCAAAGCCTTCGCAGAAAGACATGGGAATTGGAAATGACAAGTACCTCCCAAACAAGAGGCTCATACTTTAATCAAGTACCAATAATTGGCAAATTTCGTAACCAAATAATCTTTTTTATTCTTTTTCCTATCATTCTGAACGCAAAATTTTCTTGTATTGCATGAAATTACACCTTTGATGCTAACAATATCATGTTATCCTATACGATTATATGCATCAACTATACTCAATAAAACTCTGTTTCTGGTAGTATACTATATTTTCCGCGAAGTCATAAATGATATATCTTGTTTGGCGCTAAAACATGCTTATGTACCTGAATGCTCGCATCTACATTTTCAGTGTGTGAAAGATTTGGTTGTAGTCGGTTTTTTCGCTGTAACTAAGTAGATACATTAGCTTGAGGGATTTTTTTGATTTGTTGGAAATTATGGACGGGCTGCTATAGTGTCTAATCCTGACAGAAGAACAAAGAACATAGACTACTCTTCAGCTCTTATTTTTTGATGTTTACTTCCCAGAGCTATTAGGTTAGCTAATAAATAAGTTCGGTCGCTTTCGCGGCTCTTACAGATACTGCAGACAAAATTTTTGTCCAGTATTTGGTATCTCTAAAAAGAGCACTTCAATAGGAATTGAATTTAAATTCTGTTTGAGTAGAACTTCTGTTCCGAGGAATCTGCAGAAAAGAGGGAAACCCCAATTTTCTCATAGTGTCAAATCTGAGGAGATTTGGTTCTTTTGATAAAAGATTTGAAGTAGCAGATCACAGTTTTTTGTTAATCTCTGAATAAAAAAAACTCTATATCAAATTACCGAAATGAAGTTGTCTACATTCATGACAGCATGAAAACAAAGCTTTGGAAGTCAAAATATTTAGCTTTTGGAAATTTAGCCATGTTGGGGCATAGCTTTCTTTACAAATGATAGACAATCCTGAGTATTTGATATGTGGTTGAGGAAGCTTCAATCTATTTTTCCACAAAAATTATGAATAGGCAACACGAAAAATTCTTATGAAGATTTGTATACCAAACCGAACTTATTTTATAGCCAACCTAATATTACTCGATGTGTTCGTCATTGTAATTCTAGAAGCCATACGGCCACGACGGTCATGCAGACATCATTACTTGGCGAACGTGCACACCACCTCGGTGCTGCCTCTTCAAGGCGACAATGATGTCTTCTACAACGTCGTTTGCCACATGCCATCGACTCCAGAAGGGGCGATCGTCACTGAAGTTCAGTCGGGCCTGTCCAAGCCACATCGGGTCAGCGACAAGCAGAGCGTGAACTTCCAGTGAGTTTTACGATTAATGCTTATTGCTATGCATTATGTCAAATATGAGCAGGTTTTTGATTCCCAGCTGGCGTTCGCCCTCGCAAAAACGCTTTAGAAGTATCGAAATTCTAAGTAAGGACTAATATGGTGTTTGAATCTCACTAACTGCCTTAAGAGGGAGAATGTGAAAAAAGCTTACTGCTTATTGGGCGAAAAGAAATTCTAAAGATTTTTTTATAGTTTTTCTCAATCTCCATACCTTTATTAGGATTCTCGACTTGAATATGTTGCGAGATATGGTACGATGGTCAGAATGTGAGCAGACGTTGTCCGTTAGATGGGAACGTGGTACCCATTCGGGCAGGTTAGTTCCCTGCCCTACTGTTTTTCCCATTTCTCAACCTCTATAACTTCCTTTCAGAGGGCATTTTATCGTGAGATCTCTTCTGAACGAAAGCCTTGATGTACTCTACATAGAGGGTAAGCAATCATATAACTTTTGCGATTATTTTGTTCAAAATGTTTTAGAAAATCCGAAGGCAGAGTATTTGCTTAGTGGACCAATGGCTGGAATTCGACATATCATACCAATGGAATGGGATCAAGATACATCGGCTACGATTGTTGCTTCATCGTTGACATGCAAGCAAAAAATCTTGACCGAGGATAACTGTCTGTTTAGAACGAGGGTGAGCAAGTAGAAGAGATCTTGTAGTCAGCTGTCTGTGAAAATGCTTGAGATTGTGAAAGAACTCATAGTTTTACTCAAACATAATCCATGCTGTGAAGAGCACTTTTTTTTATGTAGACAAACACTTGGCCTAATTTGATGTTGAATGTAAGCATGAAGTACCCTTTGATTCAAATGGATTGAGGGCGGAAGTCGGGGCCTCGTGACCTAGTTAAGGGCAGAGAATGATTAGAGAGCAGGCGCGCGAAGAGAGACGCTAACTGCGTCGCAGGCGCGAGCGGTATTAATTAGATCAGCAAGCCCCGCCTTCCAGCTGCCATTCCAGTTGAATCAAAGGTTAATCATTTTGCAGAAAAAAATAGTTTCTGACAGCTTGATCGTGCACCTGAAAGCTCTTAAAATGAACCATATTATCAAATTGGAAAGTCTTTAGCAAACTCTCTCCACCGTTTTGAAAATTTGTTTTTCATAGCAGTTGAGAAAAAGAAGTGCATTCTGAAGTTTAGCAAAATCCCGAAAGATCTAGAATTATTAGTGGAGTTCGCGAAATTCAAAGGCGTAGGCTCATAATTTCTTTTGCACAGATCTTTGGGGTTTGAATGATAGAAGATATATTTGGGCGCACCATTGAAGAAACTGGGTGTAATTTATACTTTTCAGGTGATGGTAAAGCTTGATCCAAGCCCAATATGGACTTGGGAGTTCGCATTTCGAACTCATCGATCCGACCAAGTGTTGTTCACCCTGCGTACAATCAATTCCGAAAGCCTTCAAGCCAGGCTTGATAGAGGTAAACTTATTGTTAAGCGAGGTTTTCAGTGAGATGCCCCTATTCTAGATTTCTTTTTGCGAGTGGATTCCGGAAAGCCAATTCCAGTCGGTCAGCTTTCTGATGGGCGCTGGCATACGATGACTATCGAATCCGATGGTGAACAAGTTTCGGTAGCTGTGGACAATTCAAAGAAGATCCTACTTGTGGAAGTACACGACTTTACGTCAAGGTGAGTAAGATCTGCATCCAGCAACTATTCTGCCGCAGGGCTCGGCGCAGCTGGCACTGAGTCAAGCTGGATATTGTTTTTGGGACAAAAAGCAAAGGGGTTATCGTTTTTGTGGTTCCAAAAAAAACGCAAGTATTGCGACGATCTCTGGTCGTCGTTTCGTCCTTTTAAGGGTTTCTTACGTTTGGGGTTAGGGTCGTAGGAAATTTTCAAGATCAAAAGAGACTTTGTTTTGAAATTTTCCTGGTGCCAGCTCGTGCCGAGCCCTTCTGTCTCCTTGTTATCTGTTTTGCTGTTCTAGATTATGCAGAGACATGAATCTAGTTTTTATTTTCAGAGTTTCTGCCGTGGAGGTCGAAGTCGACGGTGAAATCTTGCTGATCGATGCAACGGATACGTTCGAAAATTGCGTACTGAATGAGAAAAGAAAGACAATGGGGTAGGTAAAGAAAATTATACGAGACTCTATACATAATATCTCAAAAAAACAAGAAACACTTAGCAAATTTTTTGTTTGAGTTTCTTTTTTTGCAGACAATCGCAATTCATGCAAGCTTGTACTGGTTGTCAGTGTACAATTCTTAATGGCATCTTCGAGAATTTTCCAGCACCTTCATGTGCTCATAATGGAGACGACGGTACGTAAAATGGTTACATTTCATACTCAGTTATTTTCTGAAAAATCTGATATGGTTGATATCGATTTTGGTATTTCAAAAAAATTTTATTTCGCAATTTTTTGCTCATTCTGATTGAATACAGCTCCTTACTCTGCGCCCTAGTTGCTTTACAATTTCCTAACGAACGAAAAGAAATACCCAGAAAGACCTTTCCAAGATGTGGAGGTTTCGAGTTTCTTTTACATGGATTTTTGAATATTAATTTTTACACTTTGGTAATTATTACATAATATCTTCTAATCAACTGAGTATCCACTGTTCTATTTGATTATTGACTACTAGATTATTTGATTATCTAATTCACACCACATTTCAAAACTCGCATCAACCCATAGATCAAATTCAATTTTGTTCGATTTCTGAAATATTCAGTCGCAAATTGCTAATACCTTGGTACTTAACCAGGTTCAATTATCGCGAATCGTTATAAACTTTTTAATCTCAAACATATGAATGTGTCGTGATATATAAAGAAAGTCGTTTGCTGCATTTCCGAATTTTTAATTTTTGATGGAAAAAAGTCTTTGCTAGTGAGCATATAATTTTTGTAGTCGCCAAATCTTCGAACGTTTTGCACTGTGTGCATCACATCTGCGCACATCAAAATTTCGTTTTTGCAATTTATTGCGTGCTTACGTCGTCGTTCGTGATTCACCTTCGCAAATTTATTGCCGCATTCGCTTCAGTGAAAAACACTATATGCATCACCTCGCATTGATATTACTATAGAATAGATGCTTTCGATAAGCGAGGGCACTTCGTTACTGTTCAAACACCCTTCCCCCAGAATTCGAATAAAAATTACAATAATAATATTTCAGCATATCGGCTTCTGCGTGAACCTGATCGTCTTTCCTTTTTCTACATCCCGGTTTCTTCCGACTCCCAGCATCTTAAACCCATCATTCGTCTAGGGCTCACATACAAGAGCGAATCGGTAGAATTTTCTTCGTTTTTTTGCTACAACCACTAAACAGCACAATTCTTAGGACATCGGAATGCTACTGTTTGGATTTTGGCAAGAAGAAGACACAAAGGGTCGATTTCAAGTGCACTACAAGGATCGCCAACTCATAGCGATTTATTGCGAAAACAGCGGTGAAGAAGTATGCAAAGGCTGCTCCCTAACCAGACTTGAAGGTGAGCTTTTTTGTCGCTTGGTACCTCTCGAAAGTTTAGCGTGGAATTTTTTGTGACATGCACATGATTTATTCAAAAAGATAGGGTGTTCTGAGCAAAGTATTTGGAAAAAAGTGTTAGAAATTAATGTTCTAATGTAAGGTCAATCTCTCCTCCAGTTATCCGATGCGCATGATAAATAAAATTTTGCGATGCATCACTTTACCTTCTGCAAAATGGGACATTTCTACTGTTCAAAAACTTTATGTACAGCATGTTATCAAAGCTTTTTTACAGTCACTTCTGTAAACAGGGAATAAACATATACTAAGCTGCTGCATAAGTTCCGTGCTATTTTTTTGCCTTGTGTCTGAAGCAGCCGCTCTAGAAGATTTTCATTCGCAATGCGATACCATTGGTACCATTAGAAAGCGCTTTCCTTGCTCTTTTTAACACATGTCATATTCAGGGTGTCCCAAGAAAATGTTAACACTGTTTGATCGTTAATAACTCCGTTGCTTCCATGTCTTTCGCCAAGCTTGAGGTACAATTCTATCGAGCGAGGTTCAACTTAGATTTGCAGTATGGAGCGAATCATCGATCGACTTCATTACTGCAGGATTACGGTAGGAACTTCGACAAGAGTTTTAGACCATTGAAGGCCGTATTCTGCCACGGAACAAAACCAAACTAACCAAAAACTCCTACACTATGGTAATGGAAGCCGCTGATTTCAAATATGAAATTTTCACGTTACTATGATACTTCTATCCTAAGTGATCCTAGGTAAACCTTAATAAATGAATTTTTAGCATTTGTTAAAAATGTAATTACACCGTCAAAAAAGTTGAAAACACTCGTAAAAAGTTGTGTAGTGAAATCAGCGTGCGCAAAAACCCTAATACACGATTCTTCAGATTTTTGAAAAAAATTCTGTCAGGTGCATATTTCACCATTGATCCACATGGTAGAACTTCAAACCGTAATCACTAACGAAGGTAGATCGCAGTTTTGCTTTATACTGTAGATCTAAGCTGAACCTCGCTCTACAGAATGGTGCTTCAAGCTCGGCGAAAGACATGAAAGCAACGGAGTCATCACGATCAAACACTGTTAACATTTTTTGGGACACCCTGTATAATAAAATTCCCGCTCTTACGAGGTTGCAGACCTATGATCCCCAAATGGTCGAGACACCTTCTCAGCCAAGAAAATGTTTCTTGCGAGAGAATCTCCACAATATGCTCTCCAAGTCAAGTCCTTGTTTTGATCGCAGAATAAGGGTGAATAGGTGAATAGTCCAGTATATGCATAAACTCACCTTCATGTAGTGTAAAACGTCTTGCTAGTAAAATTTGTTGTCAAGGTTAATTATTTGTACAAAAGTTCTGCAAGCAGTGACTTTCCGGGAATAGAGCTTGATGGGCCTAATGTTGGAGGTGCTAGAGTAAAGCAAGAGCTAACAGAACCCAGCCACCAAATACTTCTCACCCCACGCGGCAAATGTGAGATTTTCATAATTCGAAAATTGGCATACATACATGTACTGAAATGAAGTCGAAAAACGGCTTCGTTTTTATTCGTTTAAAAAATCGACAGCAGTATATGTGTTAAGTATTATCAAAAAAATTGCTGAATTGTGGAGAAATGTAAAAATCCATCTATGCAGTAATTTACACCAACACTTCCCATACTTGAATTTGGACTTTCCAAAAATAATCTTTACCCGTATTAGCTATTTGATTTAGATGCATTTTCCGTTATACCTAAAAAAGAGTAGTGGCACTTTAACAAATAATACTACTCAACCATGTTTTCAGTAGTTTCTTACGTTAGTCACTTATTTGACCAACACTTTGACCAAAGTCTATTGAGATATGTAGAATCTCAAATTTCTTTGAGTCTTTGTGTTTTTGCACCTACCAACATGGCATTTCGAAAACTCGATAATCAAAAACTGTTTCACCGTGAACTAGATGTTTGCGAATTATCGTCGACCCTCTTATCTTTCTGTGCTCGAACTAAAAGCAAGAGAAAGAATTCCAGGCTTTGGCAATGACCACTGGACGCGGATAGCATTTTTTGAAGCCTACGGCGGTATCTCACTAGTTGCAGACAGAGCTATTTGTGTCCTCGACGAGCTGGGAAGTCACAACAACCTCTCTATAGCTGGTGAGACTTGTTATCCGCTTATTATCTTGAGCATCTTGTAGTTTTGAATTCCAGAGATTTACTCAATCCCCGTACTTGCCACTGGCGGAGCAATCTTCCTCGGAGGCACTTACTACGAGAAAAAGAAATCAGGCTTGTATTTGCCAAGTTTTGAGCACAAATACTTTGAGAACACCAGGGAAAAAGTACCATCACTGAGAGTAAGTCAAAGTTTTTGTTATCAGTAGACTACATTGTTGGTGGTGTTTTTAGGGATGCCTGAAGGATGTGTTCATAGATGGAAAGTCTGTAGATCTTTCCTCGATACATAGCAAGCAGATGGAGCAAACACTGGTTGATTCTGGCGATGACAGCGCCTATGCAATTCAGGTAAAAGTTTACTACAGCAAATTTTCTGAACAAAATTTATTTCTGTCATTTAGGTGGGATGTGTCGACTGCTCGCCAAGCTGTCCAGAAGGAGTTCGATGTCGTCCGACGGAACCTCGTCAACTAACCTTCGAATGCGATTGCTCAGACATCGAGGAATTCTCGCTGGGAGAGTGCAGATCCACCGAACGTAAGCCTGGAGCTACCTTCATTCCCCCCTCCCCCCCCCCCCCACTTCCTTTCTTCAACGATACCTCCTGCATTATTTTTCTCAGGACTGCGACCAAATCCACTTGTTCCACTCTCAACATTCCATATGGACACCTCAGCCGCCACATTGCCTCTTATGCCGACTAAAGCAGCTCTCAGCAAGGTTTGTGCTCTTATCATTTCAGTTTCTGAATATGAATGATCCAGACTATTTAGGTATGGATAAAAATCTCCCTACCCAAGCATGTTGACCGAGAAATTGTAGTCGCAGAGTTCAACTCCCATCGCGAAATGCTGTTTGTTGTTTTTGCTGCTGGAAAAAATCTCATAGTTCCAAGATTATGTTAAGGTTCTACGTCTTCGTTGATTCTGATGGGATTGGCGTCCATGTTCATCCAAGTACCCAAGATCATTTCGACACAGTTGTTCGAGGTAAATAAGAAACTTTTTCGATCAAATTACAACTCACATCATGATCGCCCAGGATGATCCTAGGTCTTTCCGCTAAAACCCAAAATATTTTCAGAAAAAGTGCAACTCCCCGACGACCGTGTCCACCTGGTATCCATGGAACGAAAGTCTCCTTTGGGGACCCGTCCCACGTCGAGGAAGTTCGATCTCTTTGTAAGTATACCCAACCTTCCATTTTCCCCATAAAAATTCAGATTCAGATTGACGGCCTCCACAATGAGATTCCTGACGTAGCCAAGTACGCACTGAACAATGTGACAGTCCGAGCCGTTGAGGACAGTGAGAATTTTATCACCGTCCATGGTAGAAAAAATATTGCAGAGTTGCTTAGTCGTAAATTTCTGAGGGTTTGATTTGCAGATATGGGAGTGGCGTATGAATTTGACGAGTATCATCCTTTCTTACATCATTCGACCAACAGACTACACCAGGTTTCGTTTGCACTTCCCGCCATTATTTAATAGCGTAAAAAAGGATTTTTAAGGTTGATCTGCAGTCCATGTTGCTTCGACATCGCACTCGTGGACCAACAGAACCAGTGGCCACAGCAGATCCTTTCCTCTGGAAAAAAGTCACATCTCCATCGGAGAGACCGTCACCTTATGGAGAAATAGTGGAATACACTCCTGATGCGGAAGAACCGCAGAAGCTACGTAAGCGTTTGATTTACAACTCACCTAGATGAGTAAAATTTTACTTGTCTAAAGGTGAATGCTAAAGTTGGAGAGCATGATTTTTCGCAACACAGTCCAAAAAAATTTTCTACGGAATCAATTCGATGTTTACACTACCAGTGAAATCATTTTACTCAATCAAGTTCCAAACATTACAGATCCTTTACCGTAAATTCTGCCTGTATGTAGCAGTCTCCGTCATCGCAGCCACATACCAATAAATCTACTTTCTTGCATAGAGCAGTATCAAGCTTCTTCTTGCATATAGCTCCCTTCCTTCCCATCCCTTTTCCCTTACAGCACTGAAAACATAGATGAGTTTAGAGCCTGGAATCAAATTCGTCGACTAATAGGGGCAAATAGAACCGAATTTTTTTTCCAAGGGGGCGACTCCACGCCCTTTGAAGAACAACTTAAAAATTCTTTTCAAAGTTTCGTGACCCTATACTCCAAAACATTTGAGAAGGGGAGGACGCCACAGCCACACCCTCGATTGAAACTTTTTGAATTCTTTGGAAATTTTCAGAACAGTTTGTTATTCACATGGATAATATTAGATTATAATGTTTATAATTATAATATTATAACTTGAGAACTCCGTTTTGTTCCTAGCCTTAGATGGAGTATTGTGTTGTTTCTATGCCATCCCCGAAATCAAAGGGTACTTGAGTCGCTTGCACAATTTGGTAACTCAAGTACCCTTTCATTCAACTGGCTTGGCGGCTAAAAGGCGGGGCTGCGTGACCTAATTAAGGCTAAATAATGATTAGAGAGCACACGTGCGAAGAGACGCAGATTGCGTCGCGGGCGCGAGCGTCATTAATTAGGTCACAAAAAGCGCCTTCCAGCGCCAAGCCAGCTGAATCAAAGGTTAAATAACCTTCGAAAAGTTAGCGACCCTTCTTTGAGGAGAGCGAGAGGAACCCAGATGTACCGTTCAGCCTTTTTCTTAACACTTTCTATTTTCAGTTTCTGCTAGCTGGGTAATCTACTCACTTGTATTGACAACTGTACTATGCCTGCTGCTCACCATTTGCCTTCTTATCTATTGCTGCATCCTTCGAAGGCAAAAAAGACGCGGAAGCGAATGTAAGTCGATTTGAAGTTGGGATGATTAGTTAAGTATCTGAAAAACCCTTACAGCTTCTGATAGAGACCGCATTCTTCGAGACAGTCCAGACTATTCAGTGAAGTTGCGATCAAACAAAACTGGTGAGTTCTTTGTAAAGAACATTTTTTCTATAATGAGTGAGATCATGCAGAATCCGAATCTTCATATGATGGAGATGGATCTATCGGTACTGATGACACGGATTTGAACGCCTATAGAGATATTCCTAGTCATCGTGTAAAGATTTATCGAGAATCGGTGGGTCACTGCTCGAAAGCTTACAGCTTCATCTAGTGGAATTCAACAACATATTCAGATGGTCTCCATACTGGTGCCGGGTATGGACCAACCGAGCGAGGCGATAGTGAAGAGGATACCGAGCACAAGCCGAGTGGTGAGCTCACCACTGTTGCCACCAAGCCCTGCTCCACTCGTTCGAGTGGATGACCAATGAAGCTTCCAGTTCAATAGTTCATAGATCCGCCTGCGCTGACTGGCTTCCTGCGCCTCGCCTACTCGATGCTTTAGTCTTGACTGCCACATGTATCATATTTGTTTCCTAACATAATAACGGTCGACATACCACAACCTCATCCCGTTGCACTTGATCTCACGGGTCTCTTTTTTTTGATTTGCTTCTTGTCATGTATTAATAAACGCTTTTTACTACTGGTGGTTCATCTTACAAAATTTCCTATGAGATTAATACGAAAGATCGAAGTTGAAGTGGTGCGAAGCTGATGCGCGTTCTTCTCGGCCCTTCTTCCCAACAACTTCCATCAAATTTTCCTTTATGAAAACAGATTCGCAATTGATTCAGAAGCTCATTTCAGAAATTTACAGGTCTTCAAACAGCTGCTTCAAAAAAACGAAGCTCAATTGCATTCAATTTTTTTGGCCAAGAGCAAATTGCAAATGAATGCGCTCTTTTGAAGATACAGCTACTATACTTGTTGAAAACTCTCTATATTCTATACAGTTAATCATATTTTTCGAAAATTATTTTGATTGAGCGTCACATTGTCTCAAGAGAACAATGGTTCTATTTTTCAAATGTTTTATTGTGAAGAATTCGATGGTGATGCTTCTCATTTCTGTAAGCTTGAAACTTGGCCATTCATCAACCCTTTTTGCAAAAGTATGTAGCTATTCCATACGAAAAGAATCAAAAGATGTTTTGGAACTCTAGAGCCTACTACAAAAAGAATCTAGCTGACAACTTACAACCGCTCTATTGTGCTATAGATTACCATGTAATTTCTCGAGTTATTTTCGTGCTAAAAATTAGTCTTTTAATCTATTGAGATATTTGATGCTGGAATTATCTTAGCTGTTCCGTGCTAGAAATCAGCTTTCAAATTTTTTGAGCTACCTTTCCGGTAAGCTCCCTTCGTGCCAGAAATCAGAGTATGCAATTTCTTGAGTAAATTTGTGCAAGAATTCAGCGCATGATATCTTTTAGGTACTTTCGTGCCAGAAATGAGATTTCAAAAATTAGCATCAGATTTGCTGTAGCAATGAAATCTTTAGTTTCTTTTCGTGCTTGGAATCAGCGTTTTAATTTATGGATTAACTTCTGTGCTTGAAAAAACGGTGCCTGAAGTTCTTTTTAGCTACTTCCGTGCGAAATCAGCGTATAAAGCTTGAGGTAATTCCCGGCCAAAATCAGTTTTTGATATATATCTGTCGAGCTATTTTCGTGCTAGTAATCAGCTCTCGAAATTTTTTGAGTTGTTTTCGGGCTAGAAATCAGCATTGCGAAATCTCTTTAGATGCTCTATGTTAGAAATATTAATTGGGCTATTTCCGTGCTAGAAATTAGGTTTTGTGTCGATTCTTTAGCTTTATTTGCGTTAGATATTGGCGTTGGAATCTTTTGAGCTCATTTCGTGCTGGAAGACAGTGTTTTGGATTTCTTGAGCTGTTCATGTGCTGGATCGCTTGAATCGCTCAAGCTAATTCTGTGCTAGAAATCAGATTTTGATATCTCTTGAACTTCTTTGTATTGGAAACAATTTTTTAAAATTATGTAGTTGTTTTCTGTCTCGAAATCAGAATTTAGAATCTCTTTAGTCACTTTCATGTTGGAAATTCATTGCTTTTATGCTAGAAATTCAGTTAATTCCGTGCTCGAAACTAGCATTTGAAATTTTCTTTAACTTTTTCCGTGCTAGAAATCAGCGCTTCAATTTTGAGCTTTCTTGCAAGATTTCAAGTTTTGATCTTTGGAGCTTATTTCGTGCTGAAAAACAGTGTTTCAATCTCTTGAGCTGGTTTTTTGCTAGAAGCAAGTGTATTGAATCTTTTGAGCTAATTTCGGGCTAGAAATCAGATTCTGGTATCTCTTGTGCTTCTTTGCGATTGAAACCAGTCTTGAAATTATGTAGCTGTTTTCTGTCTCGGAATCGGAATTTTCTAGCTACTTTTACGCTAGGAATTGATCACTTTCGTCCTAAAATTAAGGATGGAAATTTTTTGAGCTGTTTTAATGCTATATGTGTTAAAAATCAGCATTCAAAGAAATTTTAGGAAATCTTTAGAGTTACATTCGCGCTTGAAAGCTGTCCGCGCGGGGCGCGGAGAGTGCGCAAGGTGTATATTGCGGTCACCCCTCTTTCCCTGTGCACTCTCGCCGCCTGTTTTTTCTCTGCGCTTCTTCCGGTCATGAACTATCTTCGATGGACGCAATAGGGTTGCTCTCCGTGCGCAGCGCGGACGGCCTATACCATGTGAAACAGCGTAGCCGAAAGAAGTACAGCACAAAAATGAGATTCGATGTCAATCTTGGAGAAGCATTGTGTTTGAACACGTTTTTGGCCGGTTCAAGATATACGAACACCTTAATCAGAGCTGGCTTTGGCTTAGCGCTGGTGTTCAAACTTTCATTTAAGGCTGCGATCTATGGTCTGAGACTCCTACTATGTGCTGAACTTGATAAATTGTGAAAAAGGAAACTTTACTTTATTTTAATAGCTCGAAATGGCTCTGGACCAAGTCGGTGCAAAAATGCTTGTTTTCTCGAGAGTTTAGATCTTTATCTATCTCTACGGATAAAGAATGAAAGATCATTACATGTGCAGTTTAGCGCACAGAGAATATTCATGTAATCTTCAGTATTTGTTCTGTGCCGTACAGGTTTTTTATAGTAATACACTTTATTGCCTTACGTTTCGGCTACACGCCGTCATCAGAGGCCTGAAAGGTGTCAGTCACAAGGATGTCTGCTCTTGACCGCCAAACACCTCTTCCCACTTTCATATTCGATTCATCTAGTGTGGAAGAAGGAGGTTGGGCCATGACTTTCACTCACCAGTGTATTACCGATATTGCAGTGTGCAACCGCTTTAGACGAGCCCGTTCGACTGTGGTGACACAAGAATGAGCAGTGTGTATGTCACATAACTGCTTATATACGCTCAGACGATCTATAGCTCGCAAAATGGAAGATACGGCATGAGATCAGCGGTAATGGATAACTGTTCATTCTTGCTGTTCATTTTGGGATCACGTGTAAGAATGAAAGACGCTTCCAAAGCCTTTCGCGCAGCTATTTGACTTTCATAGGCTAGTATTGTGCACCTTATATCGTAATCCGTTCCTTCGTGCTCTACCTTTCTGTGTTTACCTAGTGGGCTCATCATGCTCTGTTTTCTTTTGCCAGTTAGATGTTCATTCAAACGTACGCCCAATGGTCGGCCGGTCTCACCAATGTAATTGGCGGAACATTTCAAACAATGGATTTCGTAAACGACACCACATTTTGTGCAGTCTCCGATTTTTCCGTATGGGCAGATCGCGCAATCTCGTAAGTTACAAGCTTTGTCGTATAGTCTATTGCGGACTAGTTGTTTCTTTATGTTGTCGCGAGGAATATTTACTAGAATAACGTCATCCTCGAGATTTGCTTGTATCAGGCATCGCTTGATCGCCATAGTGACTTTTTCAGAGATAAAGGGCAGGCATAAAGGTACCTTGTTGGTGACCTGATCTTTTAGTTGCGCTGTTGCCTTTTTGTTTCGTCTGGGTCGTGTTGTATAACCATTGGATAATATTATATCGGCCGCCAGTTTTAGTGATTCATGCTTCTCAATCTCACCAGTACTGCTCTTCGCTGCCGTTTTCAACATATTGCGAATTACGGCACGTTTAACGGCTAGTGGGTGAGCGGATTGAGCGTGCAAGATTATGTTTTTGCTACTTTCTTTGCGGTACCATTTGGTGCATACTGAGCCATCTACAAACGTCATCTGCATGTTCAAGTAGGCCAACCAACCGTTTCGAGGTTTCTCTCTTGTTAAACTTATGTACTTAGACTGTTGATTGAGTATTTTAAAACACTCGTCCATCTCGGACTGTGTTGTCGTGACAATGCAACAGTCGTCTATGTAACGACAGTACATAAGTGGGTCTCTGAGTAACACTGGGCGTTCTACCTTGCTCATGAAGCAAATGGCTAAAACGGGTGCCAATCGTTGACCCATCGACAAACCTCGTACTTGTGCGTAATACCGTCCTGACCATCTAAAAATATTGCAACACAAACATTCCTTGATTAGTGTCATGATGCGTGCCTTGCTAAGACCATACGTCGACATAGATCTGATGTGTTCATCTAACATCTCGAATAGTGCTTGCAAGGCATCTTCATTGGCTACGTTTGTATACAATGAATTGACATCAAATGACTCAAATGTGCAGGCTTGACTAAATTTCGTTTGCCGCAGAAGCTCAAGGAAGTGGTTTGTGTTGGTCAGGTGTGCCGGTACTTTGTTCAGCAGTTGGCTGACGATTTTGTTGAGGAACCAGGAGATTCGATCCGTTGGTCCATTGGTGCAGCTGATAATAGGTCTTATTTTGTAGGTCTCAGCGGTCATTGAATGCATATCCGTCAAAGAAAGTTTGTGCGTTTTTATTAAGCTATAGAAAACAGGACATGATGGTGTTTCTAATTTGAGCCGACTAAGAAACTTTTCGTGCAGACCCGCTTCCTTCCCTACTACCGTCCATATGTGATTCAACCGTTTGCCTTGTGAAAGAAACTCTTTTTCACTAGCGGTTCTGTAGATGGTCTGATCTGATAGGTGTAGCTCAACGATTTCGCGATCAAGGGTTTGGGGCATAACGACAAATTCTCCCCCTTTGTCACTCACTGAAAGCCGGATAGTGCCATTTGTTGTTAGCTCCCTCAACTCGTTAAAGCCTTGTTGTTGTGCGCGCGTTAAGTTAAACGTTTTGATGTTTCTATTTTCATTGAGAACATTCAAAATTCCCAGTGATAAAATTCGAAACTTGGTATCCGCAACTATGCAAGGCTCTGGTTCTTTGTAAAAGGAGGATGGAAATGGCACAGTTGGTAACATTCTTCTACTAGGATTATCAGCGGGTTGCATGGGTTGTGTTTGACTATCATGCCTTAGCTTTACTCGGAGCTGATCTCTCAAGCGTTGCAACGAACCCAAAACATTGCGGTAGGTTTTCGCGTTGATGTTTTGTGTAGGTGCAAAGGAAGGTCCTAAGCTCAGAAAATCAATGGCATTAGACGAGATCTGAGCGTTACCTAGTACCGTGACTCTAGCCGTTCTTTGGTTTGATAAGGTGTTCTGTTGCACCACTGAACTGGTTAACAACTGGTGGTCTTTCGTCATCGCCAAACTCTGCCTACCTTCACT